AGGAATACCCGACGATATTAATACCTGATAATATTTGGATAATTGGAATCACTCAGGAGCCATCTACTCGGGACTATTATTTGATTTTTTATTACGACGTGTTTGCAATACTGGACACATTTATACGAAACAACAAATATGTTAAATACATGCAGTATAGCGACTTTTATAAACTCAAAGAGATTGGATCTGGTTGTTACGGAACAGTTTATACTGCCAAGTATAAAAAGTATTCAGAAGTACGGCATATGCAACAAACTGTTGTACTCAAGCGATTTAAAAAATTTGACGAAATGCCGGAATTATTTATTTCCGAGGTAAGCAATGAGTGGTAGTATTAATTAAAGTGATATTTAATATTAAGCTGACTCTATTTATTATTTATTTAATAGTTCAGGAATCATGCCAAGTGTTTAAATTATGCTGAATTCCTTGATATTTATGGAGTCACACAAGATCCAGAGACAAAAGTGTACATGATTGTTATGCAATATGCTAATAATGGTAGTCTTTTGTCTTACTTGGTTCAAAATATTAACAAATTGACGTGGTTGGATAAATTACGACATTTGACGGATATTGCATATTATATATCGACTCTTCATGGTGCAGGATTAGTGCACTGTGATCTTCATGGTGGAAATATTGTTATGCACAGTGATATAGATATGAGTTATACAACCCCATTTATATGCGATCTTGGACTCTCACGATCGGTGAATTCACACGAGTCCAATCCAACCATTCAAGGCGCTTTACCCTTTACTGCACCGGAAGTCTTTCATACCCGCAAATTTACTCAGAAATCGGATGTGTATTCATTTGGTGTCATTATGCATTTGATTGCTACTGGTGAACCACCATTTAGAGATTGGCCGTTTGACAAATTTTTGGCGATACGTGTTTGTGAGGGACCGCGACCGTCGATGCCTGATTCTGCGCCAGAGGAATACAAGAAACTTGCCGAGCAGTGTTGTGATGCTGATCCTGATAAGCGTCCTGATTCAACAACACTTTACTGTGATATTGGCGAGCTTACTGACAAATTGAGAAAGGATAAATCTGTTGACAACGTGTGGCATACCATATCATAACGATGTAAAGCCATTATCACGTCTCGAGAAGGAGAGTAAATATTCTAGTAAACTTTTACCTACTACTACAGGAGATTTGCCTATATCAAGAAATAGCTATAATTTGGATTCAGCTGCAGGTATGTTATGCATTGGTACAAATAAAAGTCAATTTACAATATTACAGTATTAACACATCCATTTCTTATAATTTAGCAACTCAAACTCTTTCTGAATAAACTGTTTATTGCCGTTTATTATTTTTTGAATTTTATAAAGGTTCGAATTATACGATGTGCTTCTACATATGTCAATATGGATGAGTTAAAAAGACGCTGAAATAAAGTCATTCATGTTTACTATTACCATTAGCTGCCTTTTCCGGGCATAGTATGAAATTTATTAATTAAAAGTAAACATTGAGAACCAATTATTTAAAGTTTATAAATAAATACGAAGACATGTTTGCCTGGACAGTGAAGCTTATTTTCAATTTCAGCACCGCACCTGCCGGATGATGCGTCGGCCAATAATGTAATGATACTGGATATTGCTATTTACTATTATGCAAAAACTTTGATAGACGAAACTCTTATTCCTCAAAAGCTATTGTCATTTTTTTTGTGGAAACAAGTTTCCACCGAATAGGCAACCTATCGTTTGCTGCGTGTGTGCAGTTTTTGACAAAATAGTCATATTACACTACAATTAGAAATTTATGTAATTGGTTGATTTTAGACAAGATGACGGTTTTCTTATGACTTTGACAACAGTAGTAATTATAGATAGTGAATGTCGCAGCAATTAATGCATAAATTCTATTTACACCGGTTATGTAAAAAAAACCATCGAGATATGTAACCATTATTATTAATACGATGCATTTTCCCTACACGAGTACCCTGGGTACACATGTCAGAGGAATACGATAAGTATAAATTATATAATTTTTTCGGATTATTGTATCAAGAATTGCAACACGCAGGTTATCACAAAACATATAAGGCCGTAACTTTGAACGAACTAGCATCAATGTGTATATGACGTCGATTAGCGTAATTTTCTGCTGTGTCTCAGTTGGGATCCGCCTCAGTTCTGAGTCATTATATACATATTTTGCACTCTTCACAAATTGATGCATTAAAGTGCAAGTATGCTGCACTTAATGACAACGTATGCCTCTTCACACTACCTAACGTTTAGAAAGATTCACTTGCTCTAGTAATTAAACAAGAGATTTCTATTAGCCGTCTGCAAGCAAACTCATTCAAAGTCAACGTAAATTGAAAAGCCTCGAAGTTTCTGGTTGGATAAAGAGGGATATGCAAATCAATATGCGCCCTTGAATTTAATTCATCTTTAACATTCTTACAACTAAGTGACAATGCAATTGGAGACGCTGAAACAAAACTCTTGACAAAGGCTTTAAATTACACACTTTGCTGAGTACTCTCAATCTTAAAAATAATTACCTAACCAGGACTGGAATGCTAAGTTTGGCAGAACATGATATGCAACTTTAGACCTTAGCAAAAATAATATTGGAGATGACAACTATTTTTGAGTTCCAGTTTTACTTTGCGTTCCTTGTATTTGAACAATAATATGAAGGAGTAATTACGTTATCTCGGAAATACTGGTGCGACAGCATTAGCAAAAACTTTACAAACAAAAAGTTTTTGGGTTTATCAAAAACAATATTGGAAATAACAGGACCGAGGCTTTGGCAAATGCATTAGTATTAAACTCTGCTTTGACTTCTCCGGATTAATGGCATAAAATCAATATTGGATGGGTGTACCGGTAAGATGGCTTTGTGTGGAGTGCTAATGCTCTCTAAATTGTTTGATGTTGCGTGCTATCGACATCGGCGAGTCAGCTACGGTTTTAGCAGATGCTTTAAAGTTAAATTTACTTTGACTCGGTTGGATCTGTATAACAATATTAATAAAAAATGGAGCAGTTGCTTTAGCGAGAGCTTTAGAAACCTGCCATTTTTTGACTACTTTGGATATCAATAAGTATATTGGTAATAAAAGAGCGGCAGCTATAGGAAAGACTTTTAAAAATTAATACGTCCTCATTTAATACAACTGAAAATACAGGAGTCATGGCCTTGGCAAATAAATTAAAATATAATATGGTTTAACTTTACTGAAACTTAGTCACAATTTTGTTGAAGATGTATGAATAGTATATCAGTGTTCGGTCAGTTTAACAGTATTTAAAATATTATTTTCAATCATATTATGGTCCGGTGCAAAAAGATTTGCACCTCACCTAGAAAAAGCGCGATTTAAACCAAGGAAAGAATGTTGTGTTACTAGGCATGGCAGACTAAAATTCACATGTCTAAAATAACATGACCAAACGTATCTGTGGCTCAAATTTCTCTACCTTAACATGTTTTCTTCTCCCTCAAAACGAAACGGTGCACCACTAACAGACAATGAAAAGTCAATGATTATTAACGTTTATAACTACTTGTCTGGGGCTAATTCTGTAGGGGAAAAGCCATCAAACGTTCACATTACGCAAGCAAGTTGCTAAAGTATTGGGTGTTGCAGAGAGAACAGTCGCGAGCGTGGTATAAGACTGGAACAAGCGTAAGGAACATTTACACCACAAAAAGTTCTTGGACGACCTAAATTTCTACCTGACGAAAATGTTGAAATCATCGATTGGCTAACCACTCATAATATTGCTTTTTCTAGTAAATTACGACGACCAGAACTTTCGAAGTTAATTCAAATGAACAAAAAAAAGGTACCATTTTCTTGTGTTGAAATAGCGAAACAATACAATTATCAGGTTTTTTTTACCCCTCCACATCACTGTGAACTTCAGCTCATTGAGGGTATTTGGGCAGTTGTCAAGTCCACATGCCAACTTTTTATCTGTTCGAAATACTCTTCTAGATGCGTTTAAAAATGCCAAGGAATATTTTGAGTCAGATGAAGATATACAGTTAATTGACGAAGAATTCGATGACTACGACAATTCTGATAATGATGTATAGATCTTATCAGAAATTAGTATTTTCATATTTCCGAATATCTATTGATACAATTTAAATAAAAAAAGGACTGCATAATAAGAAAAAAAGTTTTTATTAGCATTTTTTTGAGGTGCAAATCTTTTTGCATCGGACCATATGTCTAAAAAAGTACAGACGCAGTTGGAGCAGTACTTCGACTTAACTAGAAATAAGAAATAAATATGCGATAATTTTCCAATTGTCCCTTCTATAAGTTGTTAGAGGCGTCAGATGTAAAGTTGATCAGTATGGTAGAATAATTGAGCATTGGTTTCTATCGTTTAATTGCTGGTTAATATGATGATGAGAATCACAACGATAGCAAAGTTACGATGTTGAAATCACATTTTTAATACCTTTACATAGTTTTATTTATTCTCAACGGGTTGACTTTGAGAGTAACCTTGACTGGATATTTGAAGAGTGTGTGACGAAATTAAAGTTACCGATATCGAATCGGCATTTGTACATGTCATTAACACAGACTCTATTCTTATCGCTGATGCTACATCACAACGAAACACGGTACAGCAGTACGCTGTAAGATTTGTCTGATTTAAATTAGTTGTGCTAATATTTATATATGCAGAGTACTGAATTGAAGGGACGAAACGTTTGATTCAATTATAAGCATTATTAATATGTCAAAAGTTTTATGCATAATGTTCAATAATAAGTCTAGTTTGCGCTCTGTCTTGTGTGTATTAATCTAGTGAATGTATTGTTAACAGTGAGGTTGGCTAACGGTAACAAATGCGAAAATCAAATTTCCAAGTACAGAAGAGAAGTTGAACTAACATGAAGGGAAATCCATGTTGCATTATAACATATATAAATAATAAACTTTATTATGGTGTTCGTATTACAAGTTCTTTTTCCCCTCCAATCGTCTAGAGCGCCCTAACAGGAATTTCCTCCACCACTTTGGACGTCATTGCCGTAGATCCTGAAATATAAGAAAAAGGTGTTGACCTACTTCTAACGTCTGCTTAATAACGAACGCTGTAGTTATTGGTAACAGACTTACCCTCCTCACTCTCTTCCGCTTCACTATCTTCCCCGCCGACAGTATCATCACTTGCTCCGTCACTGCTGCTATATTCAACTTCTGTCAGATTACTTGCATCTGTAAATAAGACACCAATTTTCAACAATAAAATTCCTAAAAAAAGAAAAAAGAAAGAAAAAAAAGTGTTATAACAAATTTACCTTCGTTCCCAGACATTTCCAACCGACACGCCTCAGTTCGAGCTTTTGAGTTAGCGCTCAAACCCTCTGCTTCAATTAGTGTGTTTGGCTCTAACCGAGCCTGTTGCCAGGTTTTAAGTACCTCGACACCTGCACCACAGTGAAATGTGTCCCACCATCGCACATGGAATGGGCGGAATAGCTTTTGGCAGTTTTGAATTTTAGGAATCTTCGACAACGTAACCATTATATACAATAACGCTTACATATCTGTTTGTATATCGTCTCCAAAGCGGAGTTTATGACACTCTGTCTAATGTCATTTTCCGTAATATAATTTTTGGAGGCTACCGTAGCAGTTTATTGTTATTATTAAATTACTAATACTAATGCGTAATTGCATAATAAATTTGCATTATTTACCATCTTTAATTTGTTGGGTCAGCTGATTGGCCCGCTCCTTATAATAATATCTTTCGCTGGCGCTTAGCTGATTCCACGCATATCCAGCGATGCGATTTGTTTTCTTGAGCCCACCAAGACCTTCTATGTCGATGTCCGCGTGCTCCTTCAAATATTCTAAAACAATACTCATTGGTGGTTGCAAGTCTCAAAAAAAGAAGAAAAAAAAAAGCAATAAGACAAAATCAATTACCATCGACTTTGGTTTTTTGAAAGAATTCTTTCATAAAAATGTTATATCCAGACAGTGCACGCTTCGCTGTCGGAATGCGTGTCTGAAGTGTTGTTGGATTTCTTGGTATTGTACACTTGTGCCTAGCCTTTTCATTGAAAATCCAGTTCTGCAGAAATATTGATTATCAGCGTAAGTCAATTTTTTTTTAGGAAAGCATTATTTATTGCATTTTTCAAATTGAATTTCTGCTCGGTACTTACATAAATTCTTTGTAGCTGTTGCAGTTGTGCTTCAAAGCATATAAGAGAAACTTTAGTAGCCTGCTAATAGAATGTCTCAGATATTCCATCTCGCTTACCCACATATGTATGTATTACGGAATCACCTTCCCAACACCCTCCCAACCATTCTCACAATCATTCTCCCAACCACTCTCCGAATCACTTTCCCTTCACTGTTCAATTCTTTCCCATTGCTCACACCTTTGTTTAATTATTCTTTTCTCTACTAGTTATTGCTCTTTTGATCTCCCCTCTTTCTTTCGATCACTCCTGATCTTTTTCAAACTCATCCTCCCGCTCTCATTCACTCCTCTTGTCATTACTTGCACTCTTTCAATCGCTCACTGTTTCAATTCTCACTCTTTCGTTTTTCTACTTTCAACCGCTCTATTGCCTTTCCATCACGCTTTCAGTCATTCACTTGTTCCCACTCTCAATAACTCCACTTTTTGCTCACCACCTCTCTTTATCGTGATCACGCACTTGTTATTTCACAATTACTTTTCTCACTTCTCACTCTCTCGCTCTTTGATTTCCCGTTCTTGCTTTCTTATTCTTATACTCTCTTGCTCTCTCTCACTCCTGTGACTAGAAGTTACCCGCAATCACTCGCAATTGTTTTGTAATCTCGTACTCACCCTTTTCCAAAGAGGCTATAACTCCGCATTTACATTTCTATGAACTACATTAGTCTCGCTGTTAATCGTCCTCGTTATAACGTTTCTTGAATAATAAAGTTACTAACAGCTGGTAATGGATCCGGATTCAGTGAACTGCAATGTCGAACCGAAAAGTGTACGTCATTTGACGTACAGTTTTCCATAAATGTAAATCAAGTATATTTTTATACTAACCTAAACATTCATAGTTTCGTACGCTTATCGAAAAGGAAATGCAGTACTTATAGTAGGAAAAACGAAACACCAACCAAACTATGTGGTAAAACTTCAATAAAAAAGTCACGTCATGCGCGATGGCATATTTTGTAATTGATGCAACTGCGAGTTTCATGAGGTCCGTCTAAGTATTTCTTGATTGAGACCCGCTCTGTTCGTAGCATCGCCAAGAACGTTCTTTAGATGTGACTGTAGAATGTGAACCATCTCTTAGTTAGGTCTCTAAGGGATTTGATATCTCATATTTCACAAGCGTGCTCTACTTACTTCAAGAGGACGCATTCATCTTGAATCAGCGCAAGTCCGTTTGCATATCGTTGACTGAAAAGTACAGTGCAGATCGTCCATAATCGCTACTACACTATAACTCCATTTAAAAACGCAGTTACTGTAGTAGTATCGTATCATTCAGCATTTATAGGAATAAGCCTGGTTGACAGAGACTGAGCAATTTGTTGTGACACGAGCTTTTTTTTGATTGAATCTATGGATACAGCATGAGATCATATTGTGTTAGCATTTTTGAATGAATTGTTTGCAGACTCTTGTCGACAACAAGCAACCCTATGAATATGAACCCTTACAATATTGATTCGTTTCCTCTCGAGACTAATCCTGTTGGACGTCATTTGGCATCCGATAGTTTAAATAATAGTAAGGTTAGGTCTCATGGAGTGATTAGATTAACCGAACCCATAATTCCTTTTCTTGCTTGGGTGGTTGTGGCAGTTTTTTCTGAAAGCGTTGCTAGTATGAGGTGTTGTGCGATTTCACTATCAGTAAGAAATTCACATGGTCAAAGTTAGTAATTCCTAGATCTCAACATCATCATATCATGACAATTTTCCTTTTAATACCTAATTACTTTTCCTTTACCTATATTGCTATAACATCGTATCTTCCATCTCATTTGCTACCCTCTATATGTCTTTGAGAGCGGGCATATATTACGGTATTATTTATTCAGGTAACTTCCAACGATTTACGCTCACGTGTAACTAATTATCAGGTAGATAGTCGTGTTGAAATGTTCTGGTAACGTGACTTTCGTATTACATCTCCGTGTTGGCTCACTGGGAGGACAACAATAAATAATTAGATTACCAACTCCTGTTTCCCTAGCGGATTGAAAATTAGTAGAGTTAATATTTGTAAATTATACAAAATATTGTAAGCCTTGTTGGTGATGATAGTTCTTTTGCTATTGAGAATAGTAATGATTATTTTCCTGCTTTTAGAGGTAGCTCTGGTTTATTTTTTGGGTATAATCTGAATCGAGCTAGTAATATTAATATGCTAGCAAAATTACATACCAATCAATGTCCAATTAGATATAAATCAGGTCATTTTGTATGGAATAATTGGGAGGTTTTTTAGTTTTGTTCTTAACTTAGGCTGTGTTTGGTCTTATAATTGCTTATGGTACTTAAAGGAAAAACAAACATTACTTCAATATTTAATGTTCGGCGTGTATAGTAGAAAAAGTAACTATTTTTATCAATGTCCTCTATAACTTAAATGCGGGCGATATAACGGCATGAATATTTATTCATTATTTTAACATTAAATTGTAACAGTTTACGTCATATTCTTATTATCGTAATGATATGACGCAGACACAAGGAAATACATAAGTGTTTTTGCACTTACACGCGTACGTTCGAACGAATGATAATAAACGTAGTAAAGTTTTCGTAAACATGTTATCTGCAATACGTGTACTATAAATATAATTTTGTTTAACTGTAAATACGCATATAATCAAACTTCGATGAATGTTTAAAAATAAGCACTCGGAAAATAAATAAAGTATCAAACAAATAGTCCACAATGTAAAAAATTAAACCATTGTCTCTGTTTGTTACGCACATCGGTCTGTTGAAAAGTATGTTGTGCGTTTGCTATATATGGCTTTACATAATGCATTTTTTGTTTAATAAAGGGTTATTTTGCTAAATTAATTCGTATAATAAAAGTTAGCCCGATATATCGATGATATTATAAATTGTCTTGTAACGTTGTATAATAATTTTGTTAAAAAAATAATCTCGATAAAATGATGTATGTAAACCAGCAATATACTGCATGAGCACTATTATATTAAATTACATCAAAATTTGTTTTTTCTTCTATTACCCTTTGCGCCACGGCAATTAAAAAAAGAGAGAGAAATAAAATTGGTAAAAGGCTTATAACGAAGCATTTACTTTTACTAGTGTCAAAAAAGAGATATGTTAAAAAAACGTTAAACTCAATCTGGTCAAGCGGGGCTGATGCTCGATTATAGAAATTAAAAACAAATACAAATTAATAAAGTGACGTTTCGATTGACTATTTTTTTACAGTTTGTAAAGAAAATACAAAAGTTACCCGTACAATTGTATAAAACCGCGCGGTATATTGAGTAGTCATCTGGAGTCAAGAAATTAAACAAGGAATTATTCTCCAATTAACAGAAATGGCACCGAAAACGATAGACTAATAAGCGGCAACTTTTATTATTTGCTAAAAAAATTGATTATGGAGATAAAATATATGGATGCAAAGATCGACCATTGCCCCAAACATCTCAATGTGATGTAACTTTTTTTTTAACTGATAATGCATTATGCAATTATACCGATTCACCGTGTAATGCCAAACCTACTTTTTTTCACATTTACCCAAACATTACTTCTCATTTGCTTACATAAAAAAATTTTCTATCAATTCTACACGTAGACTACAGAACAACTAAACGACTATGCACGTTTCATTGAATATTTCTTGGAACTATACACGTATATGTATATGTAATTATGTTTTGAACAGCTGCACCCATTTAATAAATTTAAACGGGTTTTTTGTAAGACTGTTTGAAAATGACGTAACCTTGCATCACTATATAGTACAAATTTATTGATCACAAGGATCGCCACAACTTCTTTGTACGGAAGATGATTCCCTATTTGATGAGCTAAATTTCACGCTTAGTTTTGTCCCACATCAAGCTGTTCAATAGTTCCAAGTATGTACGAAACAGTTGACCAATCTGTATATGGTTCGGTTGCAAATACTCAAGACAATTACTCGGAAAGGTTACCATATTAATCCGGCTTTTGAATAAGTTTTGACGTCTCTCCGTATTAGTATTAGATGATTTCGAAAGTAAAAATTTTAAGAGCTTTGCATTGTAAAACCATATGACGTAATTGGTGGCTCGAGCAATGTACCTGACAAATAACAATTGCAGTGCTTTGTCAGAATTATAAATAATAGAGCTTATATTATTTAAAACGTCATGGTTTAATAAGAAATTAAATTACGTCATAAAGTTACAATACCGTTGCAATTAAGTAAACGAGTAAACTGTTAACAATAAAGAAATTACGGGGGGTAACTCATGGCGTGAATAGTGAATGTCTAATAATAGAAAACTCGACATCGGAAACTGCACAAAACGTGTCACTAAATAAAAATGAAAGTATATTTAGCTAAAAACCCCTTGTGTTCTGCAAGTTTTTATAAACATTACCTATAACCTGAAACACTAAACATTTTAAACGTCTGGGCACATATCAAACCACTAGTTAATACTTACCATCCTTGCAATCTCTCTAATCAGACTCAACGGACCATTACTCTTTGATTTAAGAAGATGACGTACAAAAGCTGGTTCAATGATTTGTTTTGCTTACGGTAATAATAAATAACCACCTTTGAGAGTTACGAACTGCTCTTGAAATTAAAAATATATCGTCGTAGGACGATATTTCCAA